GGGGGGGGGGGGGGGGGGGCTAGCTATTGTTTGCGTCTGAAGTTAAAAGTCCCTGTGTAAACCGAGGCGTCGTTTGAAGAGCAGCGAGCTTGTTTGTTATGGAGATATGAAGGGTAAGAGAGTATCATGTGCTGAATCTATCAGGTGGTTTGGGGAGGGGGGGGAGGGCGAGGGTAACAGGCAATCGGATTTAGAGGAGGGGGGGGGGGAGGAAGGGAAGATGGAGAGATCTCATCACTGGCATCTCAATAAGTTTTCCCCCCGAGTCGCCCACCTGTGCCAGAAGTGTCAACGAGTTGTTTGCACGTCAGTGAGAGCCTCCGTTCTCAGATTTATACGGTGAGGCGCCAGAAATATCGACAACGACAGTTCCATATTTTGTTATTGTGTGTGCGTGCAAATTAATCGCATTGAGAATTGACACTTATTTCGTTTTACAATGAAAACGGGGCCCAAAGTTGTTTTAAATTAATTAAATTAATATGGGGGGGGGGATAAACTTGTTATTGCGCGTCTATTTAAAGCAAACTTGACTGTTATAGACAATAACACAATTGTAAAACAAACATAAAAAATTTTAAAAAAAAATAATAAGTTTGGGATGAACTTTGGCCAATGTTTGTGAAGCTGGTGTGTACAAGTTCGGCCTACGTTTGTGGGTGGGTTTATAGCAATTGTAGACGGCCTACGTTTGTAAGGTGGGTTTATACTAATCAAAAACCTACAAGTTCGGCCTACGTTTGTGGGGTGGGTTTATAGCAATTGTGCAAACGTAGGACGTTTATAGTAATAAAAAAACCTACAAGTTCGGCCTACGTTTGTGGGGTGGGTTTATAGCAATTGTGCAAACGTAGGACGTTTATAGTAATAAAAAACCTACAAGTTCGGCCTACGTTTGTGGGATGGGTTTAAGTAATTATAGACGGCCTACTTTTATGGGTGTGTGTATAGTAACTGTAGACCTACACGTTCCGCCCATGTTTTTCATACACAAGTTCTAATAGATAATCAAGATTTAAGTAAGCTGTGTGGGCGGCATGACTGGAATTTCCTCGGCTGCCATTGTCCGACCAGGGCGTAGAGTAGATCGTGTCACCACTATCCCATTTATTTGTTATCCACTCGGCCTCAACAAAGCCATTTGCTCTGGATGTGTGGATACACGGGCCGGTGTTAGCTAAAATTGCATGCATGTTTGAATGTCAATGGGCCGGGAAGGCGATCGGGTGGTGGTGGTGGTGGGGGGGGGGGGGGATGGGGGGGGAAAGATTTGACAAAGTTTAGTTAAGGGGCGCATGAGAGGNNNNATATGCGGAAAGATTTGACAAAGTTTAGTTAAGGTGCGCATGAGAAGAGGGGGGGGGGGTTGTGTATGTGTGTGCAGGGGTTGTGTATGTGTGTGCATTATCTCTCCAGTTTTATAAGCCTGATTCGAAACGCTAACTAGCTATGACGTCACTTTGAGCAAATAGATTCAGATAGGCAGACAAGGGTAGCCCCCCCCCTCTCTTCACTTGACACAATGGGCGGCCACCCCCCTTACATTTTTTACCTCACAGACCCAACCGGGCGAGCACACGCGGCCTTTTGTGTCTTTGTAGACGCAGGATTTTTTTAAAAATATTTTTTTATATATAATGAAAAGATTTATTTGTCATGTCTTCTATAGAATTCGGGTCATAATGCACGAATTATGCAGGCTCATTCTCGGGGAAATAAGCGCTTGGCTCTTCTTATCGGCGGCTATTGTTTTGCTAACAAGGCTTAGTCTTTATATTTATATGCAAGAACTATCGGCTCTGAGATTATCGAACAGGAAATATTAAAAGTTCAGTGCCGGTATGCTATGTGAACTGAGGTTGTTGTTTGACGAGGGTGTAGTTAGGATATTATTCATCTGTTATCTCTTCAACGAATAGGATAATAAACTCTGTGTTATTAAACTACAAAACAAAAATGTGTGCTAAGGGGGAGAACCAAAGTTTTGTTTCACGCACTGTTATACGACCGAACACAACTTCTTCTTCTTCTTCACTCCCTCTACTTCTCCAATCTTACTTCATGTTTTTAGGTAGCGCCATTTCACTCTCACTGCCATTAAAAATAATTACACGGATCCCACAGAAATTAACGTCAGCTATTTTTTTGTTGTTGCTTTTGTTAAAATATCCGTGTGCATCCAAAAAAAAAAAAAAAATTGAAATTAATATTAATTGACAATCAACTGATTTTATTATTTTATTTTAAAACATTCAACATTTTTAAAAATATAAACATCATAATTAGTATGAATTATCTTTGTTTCAGAGCCATTGAAAAGAAAATTGAATTTTATTTTAAAAAGTAAAAAATCTATCCCACTCTACTTAATTTAATTAATGTATTCGTTCTCCCCCCCCCTCCCCTTTTATATTTAAGGTCACAATCAGCATAAAGATTACAAACCGCAACGACAGCTTTCACCAGAGAGCACCACACAAATTTCAGAGAGTCGCAGCAACAACAGCCGCAACAGCAGCAGACTGAAAAGTGAATCTCCTCAGCTGGGTGTTTCACCATTCCCTTATGCTGCGTACAGGTGAGTTGACTTATAGGTTAGTTGACGTACAGGTGAGTTGACGTATAGGTTAGTTCACGTACAGATTAGTTGACGTACAGGTTAGTTGACGTACAGGTTAGTTGACGCACAGGTTAGTTGACGTACAGGTTAGTTGACGTACAGGTTAGTTGACGTACAGGTTATTCGATGATAATTAAAATATTTTGATTTATGTTCCTTTAGATTCATACAACTACCACTACTACTAGCTTATAATTACACTTTTTTAGGTTATTTAAGATGTAGGCTATTATTACTGTTACAAAAAAATTCATATCAATAAGCCTAAGCAATATTAATTAAGTTGGATAAAAATGATAAATTTTATCAATAATCAGTGCAATAACTTATTTTAAAAAACAATTATTATTAATTTGGATCTTAATAAGATCTTAATATTTAAAAAATAAATAAATCGTTTTTTTCTTTAATGTTAATAATTAAATTCCATTAATATTCTTTTTTTGTCCACCATCAATATTAATTAATTTCACTTAATAATTTTTATGTAAAACTAACCTTATCTACCACATATTTTCAGTACGTTTTCTAAAATTGTTTTTAAGCTCCAAAAATAAGAAAAAATTTCATAAAAATGTAGCTACTTAAATATTTTCATAATAATTTTTGTGTGTGCTTGGTGCAGCTCTTCCTCAGCCACAGACATGAGACAGACCAGCCCAAATATAGCCAGTGGCTCCAGCCCACCAGCCAGGTGGAGCAGAGAGATAGATGGTGCTATGTTCAGGCCGAACCCCAGTAAATATTCCTCACCCCCAACACCGACTGACCAGGATGGACCACTTAATTTGTCCAAACCAAAATCAGAGGTATTGCAATACTTAGCAGGAGAACTATTCAAAACATAAAATGCTCACAGAAAAACTTAGTAATACATGTGTATTGTTCAACTGAAAATGTGTTATATTGAAAGGTAAAATTTTTTTTTTTACTTACCCAGACCAAGTCCAGACATCCATCAGGATACACGGGTCAAGGCCGCGGAGGTCAGGAGGACAATCATCGTGGAGTTAAAAGAGAGGCTACAACTCCTCCACCGGCTCACGCCAACCACAGCAAGAGGCTGACCCCTAATTCTTCGAACCACAGTCCAGTGATCCAGTCCCCTCTGCAAGGAGGAAAGTCCAACCATTCTTCTCAGCACCAGCAGCGGTCACCCCACAACAACCCGTCTCCCCTCCCCGCTTCATCGACCCCTGGGCCAACCCCTGTATCTGAGGTTCCTTTGTTGGCAGCCCTGAGACACAACCCATTCGGCCTCTCTGCCCAGTATGTCACCAATCCTTTCCTGTCCCTCCCTCCAAATTTCCCACTGGGTGGCTTGACCGCTCTAACTGCCGGCCATCATGGAATGAATGGCGCCCCTTCTCCATCCGATACGGAAAAGGTGATTATATAAACCTCATCATGTAACCGATCGGATAAAAATGAAATTAGTGGTATAATGCTTATATGTTAAAAAAATGTAATGGCTTTTTAGTGTGAATTTATAGAGCTTAAATAAAACTGTCTGTCAAAATTTTCAATCAAACAACATGCCTACATAAGTTATATAATGAATGTAACATCTTGTTCTGACTGAAGCTTTCTTTCCATTTGTTAAAATAAAAAAAACATGAATATGTCTGTTAAAACTTGAAAGGTAATGGAGAAGATGGGGTCAAGAGGGGGTCAATTGTCAATTCAGATTACTGTGTTACTAAGTTTGCTTTGACCATTCATTTCAGTCTTGTACAAATTTGTTTTTTTTCTTTATTCTTGTCTCTTGTGACTAGTTCATGTACCTCCACTCGCAGGAGAGCTATGTCCAGGAGCTGCTTGCCCGCCAAATGGCAGCCAGCGTGAGTGGGCCCGTGTTCCCAGGACTGGGCCACCATTTCCCCATGTATGCCTCCACCCCTGCTCCACCTCTGCCCAACATGGCACAAATGCCCGGCAGCAAGGAGTCTGCCCCTCAAATGCAAGCAACATCCGAGGAGAACCAAAGCAGTTATGTTCAGCACTTACAAAGTAAGTTCTTATGGAATTGAAAAAAGTAGCAGCAGTCCAGCCTGTTGGTTAGCCTACTTTAAAAGGAACTTGTAGATGACGACATGACTTGTTTGAAACAGGATTTTAAAAAACTTTCTTGAGGAATTAAACCTTTGCCTAGTTCTGAAACTGCTGGCTGAAACATTCATTCTCACAGCGTGTTAAAATAATTTACTCCACTGAGAAAGACAGTTTTATTTAATTACCAACAAAACAAACAAAACACCTAAGAGGGCTTTAATTTACAGTCTTTACAAATGACTGCAACAATCTCAGACTGATAAAGAAAAATATAATAATAACTTATTATTATTTTTTTTTACATTGATTCCAGGTAAAATGTTTGGCGCCAAAATCATCAGGGCTCAACGGGAGAAATCTGACCCAGGACGTCCTCACATCAAGCGTCCAATGAATGCATTCATGGTCTGGGCCAGAGAAGAGAGGAGGAAGATCCTGAAGGCCTGCCCGGATATGCACAACTCCAACATCAGCAAGATTTTGGGTAAGGGCTCGGTAACAAAAATTGATATGTTTGTGGATGGAGACCCGGTTAAAAAATGGATATGTTTGTGGATGGAGACCCGGTTAAAAAATGGATATGTTTGTGGATGGAACAACTGGTTCTGCGGCAGTTTGAAAAAAAAATTTTTGATTGTTTTGTTGATGATTGTTTTGGCTTAATGAATTAATTGGCAATACAGTAACTTGAACTGTTGGGGTTCCCCCTGAATACTTTATATCCAATAACTGATGAAGATTTGAAGAAAGAAAAAAATGTTTCTTGTTGTCAGGTGCTAAATGGAAGAGCATGTCAAATGCAGACAAACAGCCTTACTACGAAGAACAGTCCAGGCTTAGCAAACTTCACATGGAGAAACATCCAGACTATCGTTACAGGTACTTGTGGTCAAGTTTTATGGGCATTGAATTTAAATGATCTAGGTAGTCCTAGTTGTAAGCTTCTTTAAAATATTTGCCAGTCTACAAACGTTTGCCTTTTTTTTTTTTTTTTTCTTTCTGATTAAAATAAAAATTAATTTCAAATCTTTCTTAAATTGACTTTTTTTGTGTAATTAGAATTTAGAGCATAGAATTAGATAGTATTCATCCATACATTGTCAGATAACATAAAAACAATGACCTACAGAATCTAGCTTAGTTATCAAACAAAGTTGTCAGCCTCCACATCATTGCTTCAGCTTATAGAAAACCATCTAGTTCAACAGTTTATAACATGATACTCTGTTGTCTGTCAGTAGTCAAGGTTTAGAAGTAGCTTTGTAGTTTTTAGTTCAAATTTTTTTTTTTTCCTTCTTATTTATTTAAAAAATCAACAACAGAATCTGATTTCAGTTAAGTGCTAGAGAGTCTCTTTTACATGAGGAAGTCCAACTAAAGCTATCCTCTGTCTGAATACCATATTGCAAATTTGAATTGTGCTACAGCTGAATAATTCTATTAGATGAAATAGGCATTGAGTCCAGTTTTAGATCACAATCATGCCATTCTCTTGAATAGTAATTTTTTTTCTTCAAATTTTAAAGATTTATTAAAAAAACACTCTAATATCACCTGAGAGATAACAAATTTGTCTTTGAATTTCCTTCAATAAATCTAAAACACTTTTGTAGTTTAAAAAAAAAAAAATAGAGCAAATTGAATTAGTTCTGTCTTAGTAAAGTTTCCGGAGACAATATTTAGTTTCAAAGCTCATTACAATAACAAAAGTTTAAGTTGCCCCCTCCACCACAAACTGCTAGTAAACAGATGTCAACATACTCCCTGCTTCTCAGGCCTCGCCCCAGGAAAAACGGGAAGGTGAAAAAGATGTTTTCTGACACGAAGGGGCCCCCATCCCGTGCAGGCAATGAGGCGGGTCCCACATTGGGCACCGCTCTTTCAATGCCCCTGGATCACCACCACCAACCTCCTTCTCTAACGATCGGGGCACTCTACCCAAACTTTCATGTTCCCAGCTCTCTGCCCGATCAAAGGTACAAAACATTTTTAGTGGCAGCCATTTTGCCCACATTCAAGTTTGCCTTGTGTATCTGTTATATTCACCCCCCCCCCCTTTTTTTTTTTTTCCTTTTAATTTTTTTTTTTTTTTTTTTGCCATTTAAATGCTTGTTTTGTTTCTTTAAAAAAAATAAAAAGCAGCACCCAAATGACCTTTTTAAAGAAACCTTCCCCCAAAAAATGCACAAACAATCCATTGCATATTTTACAAGTTTTATCAACAGTTGCAAAAGTGATTCCACCAACAAGCAAAAATTCCTTCCCTGTGTGGTTTAATCATTTAAAAAAAAAAAAAAATGATTGTCAACTTTTGTCTTGCTATTTGTTATTAGTTATGTTCTTTTGCTAAATTTCATAATTCTGTTTTCCCCCTGACAAATAATTTTCCATCACTGTTTGTTTGTTGTTTTCCTCAAAGCAATGCAATTTTAAATCCCAATTTTTTAACATTTTTTTTTGTAAACACTCATTATTGAGGAAATGAGAATTCAAATTTTCATATCCCCATTTTAACCTAATTTATTTCAAATTTATTATTTTTTTTATTCAAATGTCTTAACTGAGCTCACAGCTTTCCCTAAAATTGCTTTGTAAACAATGCCTTAGACAACTAATACTTGTCATCTGTTCAGTTTTCCTCCCCGCTGTTCTCCTTGTAATGAATTTTTTTTTATTCAAATGTCTTAACTGAGCTCACAGCTTTCCCTAAAATTGCTTTGTAAACAATGCCTTAGACAACTAATACTTGTCATCTGTTCAGTTTTCCTCCCCGCTGTTCTCCTTGTAATGAAAATATGGTTTGGGTAGAGTTTCCCTCACGCTTTGTTCCCTAAACAAACATTCCCAGAATTCCCTTCAGCCCCCCCCCCCCCCCCTTGCTGTGTGCCTCCCCAATGAATCAATCTAACACGTGTCTCTACTAACTCTAGCCCACGTAGTGCAATAACTTTAGTTTATCTATTCAATATTATTTTAAATTAAATAATTTTGAGAATTTTAAAAAATCAACAGTTTTTTCCCCTGGTTTTCTAGGCTTATCTTTATATTCAGAAAACTAAAATTTTAAAAATTTATTATTTTTTTTGTTAAATTTTTTAAAGTCATTGGAAATAAGATATATTTAATGTTCTTTTTATTTTACGTATAAACAGATTAAAAAAAATTTTTGTTCATAAAAACACAAATTACCCACACCTATACATGTATATTAAAGTTGAAATTCTTTTTTGGGAAAATTGAATGATATTAATTTATTTCCCCCAGGCCTAGGCCCAAGCGTACATGCATTGTAGACGGGAAAAAACTGAGAATCTCCGAGTACAAAGCCCTGATGAAAAACAGACGACAGGACATCAGGCGGGTGTGGTACGGTGATGGAAGCAGCAACTTCCCTGAAGGTTGGTGCTCTTTAGTTGTTTTTGTTTAGAAAAAATCTTTCCGTTAAATTTTTATTTTTCCTATTACCTCTATAAAATATAAACTTAAATTGTATAAATAGTTACAAGTGAGAGTTAGCTCGTGGCTATTCCATAATTTATTGTCTAGACCCTTTTCAATTTCATTTGTTTCAGATGGAGATGAAGAGGATAACTCAACATCCAACTACGACGCGCACTTTCTCCACGGAGATGCCGGCTCCCCCTCCCACAGCCTGAGGGGCGGGGCCAGCACATCTTCTCCATCACACGGAGGCGCCAGCCCAGGGGACAGGAGATCCGTGTCTCCCAACAACCTCAATGGCCTGGATCATAGCTCGGAAGAGAGCAACGACGATGACCCGACTGCCGCCGCCACCAACAACAATAATAACAATACCACCGCAGCCGGCAAGGCCCACGGCCCAAACTTCTTGTATCAGGACAACAAACTCTCAGCAGCACATTTTCCTTTTCACCACGCTTTGCAGCACCCACAGCAGCCCCCGCATGGGTTGAGGTTAGATCTTCCATACGCCTCTTCCCCTTCCTCCACCATTGTCAAATCTGAGGCTGGTGTCGTCTTCCCAAAGCTAGGGGCAGCACCGTACAACCTGTCCATTTCCCAAGATGCCATGGCGCACCACAGGGCGGAGTCTCTCATGGGTGCAGGGGGTCGAGGCATTGCGGAAAGTGACAAGCGGAACATTGACTCTCATAGTATTAAAATGGAGCCAGTTTTTCCACACATGTCTCAGATGTCTGAAGTTCCAGGAGCGTCGTTGTAGTTTTTAGACCATATTTTGTAAAACAATTAATCCTGCACCAACATATTGAAACATTTAAAAAATGCTCTGATGACTTGCACGCTGGAGACCACTGTGGAAAAAAGACGGAAGTCTTTTTTCTGAGTCAAGCTTTTTAAATAACGTACATATATTTTTAATGCTTTTCATATTCATTGCAAAAAACCTCACAAAATTCTTGTGACAAATTCATTAATAGATAAGGCTCACAGGGTATTTCTTTAATTTTTATATTTACACATATTTAAAAAAAATGTTTTAAAACAATAATTCATGATTTTACAGGATTTGTCTTCCCTGAACAAAGATTACTTTATTGCAATACGGTATTCAAAAAAAAAGCTAGAAAAGTTTACTCTTTGTTTCAACCATTTCAGGTGATAAATTTGCCCTTAGATATATAAATTATTATTTTCTTTCTTTGAGCTGACTTTGAAAGATGTTTATTTTTAACTTTTTATTTTTCGATGTACATCCACAACGAAGTACATATTTGTACTATCCGGCCAAATACGAAGATTTTTTTTTTTTACAGCCCTCCTACAGATGATTCTAATAATAAATTTTATCATCCATGTTACTACAATTCAAGCAATATCAACTAGAGCAATATCGTTTATGTTTCAACATGTTACAGGTTGAATTTTACAGCAGTCTTCTGTCGATATAAACCATTTTTCATTAAGCTATAGATATTACATTTTACAAGCAATATTTTGAGCTTCCACGCTGATCACAGAAATAGTCAAAAGAGCCAAGTTTAATTTAGGAATGCTTTTTATAAAAAATTATTATGTAAAAATGGTGCATTAAAAAGCCGGGGCATCTTAATTTCAAAGCAATTTCCCGTGCAAGGAGCTCGTGTAGACTCACAAATGCTCTATGATGAGTTAACTTCAACTTTATAAAACTATGAATTCTTAATAAGCTTCAAGAGAATGACCAAGTATAGACTGATTAGCTCATAGTAGCTTTTAAAGTTAAGAAGAATCTACGCCTCTCTATATATTACTGGACTATCTGCCCTTCCCTGTAGCAGTTATAAGAAAGATATACTCCACTCTATATCACCTGACAATCTGCCCTTGCCTGTAGCAGAGACTCATTATAACCTATATTCTTTGATGTCAGACTATCAAAATACTCTGTCGCACAAGATTTTTCTTGTCCTTGCAGAAATTGACCTTGACCTCAACAACTGTATGAAATATTGTAGCCATTTTTTAATCAAATTTTTTTTTTTTTCAACTTTGTATCTTGACTTTCCAGAAAGACATTTTCTGCCATGCATTGGTTAACATAGGTTAACTGGTGCACATTTATATTTTATCATACCCGCAATGTGGATTTTGTATCACGAAAAACGTAATGTTCATATAAGAAACTGGTACCACTAACTTAATGTATGTACATTTTTGCTGTTTCATTGTCATTTTAACCACAGAACTGAGTGGGCAAAGCTCATGTGTGGATGCATCCACATCACTGGAAAAGGCTCACACATGGATGCATCCATACTTGGGACATGCTCATGCGCGGATGTATCCATATAACAACTGAACCGACTGGCCAATGCATCCATGTAATGTAATTTAGATGCTGGGTCTGAGCTCATCTCCAGACTGTAATAATTCACATGTACACTTGCAATGCTCTCTATTGATTTCTCCACTGTGCTGGAAGTAGCTATGATCTCATTCAAACTTTATTTTTTTGTTCCTTGCTTTTATTGTTGAACCCGGGAATTTTTAAAAAATATCAGCAACTTATTGATGGGTGAACATGTTATTGCATTATGAAAGATACTTAATGTTCTTTGTCAAAGTCTAGTTTTGGACTTTGACCCATGAGAAAGATAGATCACTCGGTTTCTTGAAAGATAGATCACTCTGTTTCTCTGAACATGTACTGTTTTTTTGGTGTTTTTTTTACATTTGTTTTGGTGTAAATAATGTTTTACATTTATTATGCTGTAAATAAAATGTATGTTTATGATATGAATTCAAAACTCTTCATCCTGTGGGTCAGTGATGTGGGTCAGTGATAAGTTTGGTCATGTTTTTCATCCTAACATAATTCTAATTGAACGTCATTTTGAAAAAAATAAATAAATACACATATATATATATCAAGATAATAATTGTTACCTGTATTTCCCCTTCCCCCACCCCCTTTTATCTGAACCAGATCTTGTCAAAGGGAGATATTGAGTTGGTACAATGAAATTCCAACCATTTCGGTAATTCGTTCTGACAGTCCAACCTCTCTCTCTCTGTCACCTCCTGTCAATGACAATGAAACCCAACAAATGGATTATCTGTTTCCTAGTGCTGGGATAAAAACGAGATTTATTTCTACTGTTCAACTGCATGTGAAACTGAATCCACAAACGAAAAAATGAAAGAGAATCAAGTTTAAATGACAGCTGTAATCAGGGATTAGTGAAGTGTTATCAAATTTAATTTTTTTTAAACCGTTGGGAGAAAATCAAATATTCTCATATTCATTTCTCAAAAACTAAAAAAAGCTATACAATTTTTGATGCTGGTTCTTATAAGGAGTAGTTAAATTTTAAAACAATTGTACAGCCCTGCATACATATTGACAGCGCTTAACGATCAAATGTTTGAATTGAATTAGGTTTATCAGTTGAAATTGTAACTGGCTTGTGCTCAATACTTTTATTTTTTTGTAATCCATTCGCAAATATTTTTAAAGGAAACATCGAATAAAAAAACTTGCAATTAATTTTTTTTTACAATTGCAATAATTCAAAACAAAGAACTAATAATTTTCATAATTCATTAGATGGAATGTGTTTGTCTAATCCGTGAAAAGTTGTGTTGTGACTATCGAGCTGGCTGACCTTATTCCAGTGTTAGCAATGAGGAAACATGTTAGTCTATTGTTTACCAACTGAAAGATACAAATGCATGGCTGTCACCGATATATGTTTGCTATTTCAGCCGCATGACAACTGCCAGCCAGTAGAGGCCAAGTTGTTGAAATATTTGATTCATCATTCGGACATGTTCTCAATATACTTAACCTGTGTGCACTACTAACTAGGTTATATATAATTTATTTATTTTTAATAGCTGTTAAAAAAAAATGAAGGTTGAGAGCAGTTATAACACTCCCAGAGTTCAGAGTTATTTTGATGATCAGGAATCCAAAAGCAGGCATCGTAATTTGTTTTTCAGATTTTTATCAATAGAAATATTTTCCACACAGCAACACATTTTGAAGCAGGTGGTTTAACATTTTGAAGCAGGT